TTTATTTAAACACACGTATATAATAACAATATTGACGACACATTTACTCTACATTGATTGAGCCGTAAATACTATTGAGACAAAACAAAGTGAAAATCAAATGAATAAAAATACATCAAATAAAATAATACACTAAATATCAATACAAGAGCTGATTGTTTGGCCACAGCTGTTGCCGTGTCTCGGATCCGGTCTCGGGTTCGGGTCCTGACGTCAGTATCCGTTGTCTCTTATACCGAAAGCCGTCGTCATTCATGAAACAGTCTCTCAATAAGTTATAGATCTTATCGGTGGACACACTCTTCATGGAGGCGTAATTCTTCACACCTGACCATCGAAAGCATACCATCGATTAGGATAATGATAATCATGTTTTACATTTACTATTAAAACATGTGTTATTTAGCATACATTAATTACACGTTAGTTACACGCATGAGATATTAATAATTACACAACTAATTTTTTGATGGCTCTTTACATTAGTAGATTAGTTGCTTAAATACAACGGGGATTAAAATGGTTAATTTTTGATTAGGCGTGTTTCAGCATATTTATTAAAGATACGACTCTAAAGTTTAGAGTCCAAACGTTATTAATAAACATGTTAAAACATCATAAAACATGGTAAATGATGTATATCATTTGTTGAGTGGTAATTTAACAAATTACTAACAAACACAAAATGAATTCATTATTAATATAATATAAACTTGATATTTATATTTTAAAAAACAATTAGATAAATTAAAAATTAAATAATAGATTTTAACCTTTAAATCACTTTTATAGATACATATAATTTATGATGGATATAATAATGATAATATAATAACATAATTACCTCCAACAGCCTTTACTTCGCGACCAAACGCCAGACAATCGGCTTTAATCACATCCGACATAACGATGGGTACAATGAATGCCAATAAAGTCATACACAGAATCATGTTTGCCGAAGACATTCAACGGATCAAATAAACTAATACTTAATAAACAACACAATATATATAAAGTATATATGTATATGAAGTGAGATTTTTTTTGACGAGATGTAGAAATATATGTAAATTATGAGCAAAAAAGCTAAAGAAAAAAAAGACTGTGAGTGAGAGGCGATACCACCGGAGCTAATGATATGCGCGCAATGTTTTTAAAATAGCCCTAAAAAGCTTTATGGGTAATTTTTGTTATTTTTTATACCAAGTATGAATAGAAAACTACAGTAATTTATAGTGAATAATTAATTTTTTTTATCGTACTTCTATCCAAATTGTAGTAATGATATTACAGATAGAAGTTTGGATATAAATTTTATTGGGCGAATAAATTATACCAAGAGTTTTATATATATATTTAAAATTATGCAAAAATTTATTAAAGACAGATCAATTCACTCGCTTTCTCTCTCACTATTTCATTTGTCTATACACTGGAGTATATGTTAAATATATAGACATATACCTACAGAATATTCTGTTTATATACCACCCATATATATCTCTCTTTATATGCATGTATGTACACAATATTTTCGCCATCAAAACGCATATATAATTAAATATTTACATCATATTTAATTCTGATGCAAAGTTTTCAATTAGTTTTATTGCTTTCCAATGGCTTTTATTTCAGTACAGCGCGAATGTGTGCGAAAATAAACGTTTGAATCAATGGTATACCGTATACGCGGGTGCACTCCATGTATGTAAAACAGCCCATTAAATTACATAGCCAATGGTATGATACTATCGTAATGATAGTGGTCGTTTTGATGGTTGTTGTTGTTGCTAAATTACATAGTTAAATGCTTCACGGGTACAATTTGATGTGTACTTACTGTACATAGTGTTGGTAGTAATACTCATATGTACATTGTACTTACATTTAATTTATCTGTATGGTTTGGTAAAAGAGCATTAGGTTAATATTATTGTGAGGCATATTTAAATAAACATGATCGATACGTACAAAATAAGTACCGTAAAATCATGCTTATTAACCGCAGGTTAAAAAAAGTCATATTTTTGGGAAAGTAGTCAGCAACTTCAATTCATTATTAACATAAACAGGGTTAGACTATTAAATTTTGGCGAGTTATAAGTGAGGTGGTGGTAATCTCTGAATCGCCTTTAATTTGCAAATATTTACACTTTTTGTTGGTACGGGTAATACGCGACTGCGGGTAATAGGCAGGATTTTACGGTACTTATTTTTTACAGATAAATACTTGAGCTACTTTAAATATAGACACGATTGGTATTATTCTGGTATTCAATCATTAATTTATTTATCATATAATTATAATTTAGAGGTTTTCATAGCAAAAATAAATTACAAATAATACTAACAAAACAATTATATAAATAATAAAAATTATTTTAAGAAATTTCTGACAACAATTCTTGACAGAAAATGATTAATAAATTATATTTTTTTTACAATAAAAATGACTAACATTTAAATGATGGTAAATCCAGCGATAAATAGGATATCATAAGAGGGCTGTGGAGGGGCAGAGAGTCAGTGGCCATGGGGTTAGGGAGACAGGTATGAAATGGTGGTTTTGGTGGCAAAACTAGTTTAATATCCCTCTAAGAGAAATCGTCGAAACAGTTTGCCCCGGGAGTCGGGTTTGGTTGCGGTGCTGTACCGGCCCTTCTTGAACCGAAAGCCCTCCTCATTGATGAAACAGTTTTTGTAGATCTCGTAAACCATATCAAACTGGAGCTGATTTTCTTCCACAAATTGTTTGATACCTTGTTTTTGGTATAAACAATATATGACACAATAAAAATATAATATAGTTTTTACCCAAAATTATGGTAATTTTTGGGTTAGGATAATGGGATAAAGAGGGGAATGGGATGGTTGGGGTGGTTGTACTTTGAATGATAAGCATCTAACTTCTTCAATATAGACACCAAAAATTTTTATAATATATTATGGTAAAAAACAATTACAGTAATGATACTTATAGGGTGTGACAAAGAGAGGGGTGGGATAGTTATGGGATAGATGTGTTTGTGGTGACATACCTCCAGCGTCCTCAATCTTTTTGCCAAACTCTATGCACTCGGCTTTTGTGGTCTGAGTGAGAATGAACGGCAAGTATCCACACATTATTGTTAAGTAAATCATAACTGAATACATATTAATAAAGTATTTTCAAGAATATTCTTGATTTTATAATCGCTGCTATATTTTGTATGAGTTATTCACGGAGATGGAGATTGCCTCTGGAAAAATGCGCTTGATCACAGGCAAGTTTTTATTAAAGGTATTTGCAAACCAAACACTGATTTATATACCCTTTTTAGTAATGCCATGAATAATATAATATGTATCTGAAATCTCATGTGAGAGTTGACCAAATAGTTTAAGTGTGTATTTGATTTGATTTTCAAAAAATCTGTCGCTTGTTTTTGATATTTCTCGTGTCCATTAATTATTTAAATGTGACATACACGTGTGTTTAAATGTTAACTTATCATGTATTCTCTCTATCTCCGTGAATAACTCATACAAAATATAGCAGCGATTATAAAATCAAGAATATTCTTGAAAATACTTTATTAATATGTATTCAGTTATGATTT